TTAATTAATCTTCTTAAAGACTGTAGGTCTATTTTCACCACATCACTTGGAATGTTGCTCCAAAGCAAAGGCAAGTCTCTTTGCATTTTGTCTGGGTTGAAATAAGAAAGGAACAAATAGGATCATGCATGCATTTGGAAAATATTTTAACAGACCATTTTTTTCATAAGCACTGTCATTTTAAGGGGTTGTGAGAGAATGTGAAATGTGAATTGCAATGGACGTTTTTTTTTTTGTGAGATTTTGAGCAATATAGAGGAGAAGCAGAGATTGCCTGTGGATGTACAGTCTCCTTCTGCTTTCAAAGCTATTGTACAAAATAAATCTGCAGCTTGTTGAGCCCACCATGCCCAACCCATCGTCCTCTGCTTAGCGTAACGAGTGGAACACAGTGTGTACTGTGAAGCCTACCTGCAATCCTTATCAGAATGTCAGAAATGAATATATATTAAACTCTACATTTTTATTAATCCCACCTTGTTATTGCTGCTTTATTTCTTTTCATTAACAAACACCCATATTACAGTTTGTATCCCTTTCACTACTAATGGTTACTTCTTTTTGACTGGTCCTTTTTCATTCTCTCTTTGACTGCATCCTTAATCTGTCTTTCCTCTCTCATGTAACATGATGCATTTGGGGGGTTAATCCATACATGTGATACAGTGACCGACCTCTAGCCCCCCCTAATAACCAGGTCAAATGGACAAAATCTAACTCTTCCAGTTACTAATAGATAAACATGCATGGAAAATGTTGTTATAAGGCCATGAGAGCCAACTGGCTGAACTGGCCAAGCGGGATGGTTGAAGGATTGCTGATAGGAGTGTACAGCTACGTAAAAATGATGACTCACACAAAGCAAGAGTCTCAGCACTTAAGTTAAACTACAAATCGCTGAATGACAGAATTTTTTTTTTTATAAAAGTCCTGGCCATACATCTGACTGGAAAGACTAACTTCCTATACTTTCATCTTTATCTGTTTTTCTAAAGGACTGTATGGTAAACAAATCAGTCAAGCAGTGTCTCTCCTTACTGTTGACAGGCTCAGCTCATCTCCTTCAGGCTGCCATGGGTCCATAAATTATTTCTAACAGATCCCTTAAAGGTGTCTCTCTTTACACTGTCCTCTTCAGCAACTGGTTAAATGATTCCTATCAGCTGGTTTATGCTCTCATCTATATCATATTTAGAAGATCTTCTTTTTCTTCAGCAACGCTTCAAATCTAACATTACTGAAGTCCTCATTCAAGATCCTACTTTGAGATTTTAGTGTAATTTATGAGGATTTAATTCATAAGAATAAATAAACATCTAATCATGGCATTAATTAAAATGCTTTTAGTGAAACCAAAATGAAGTCCAAGTAAAAAAACTGAAGCTTGTGGTTGTTACTTCTTAAAATCTATGAGGGTGTGAATCCTGTTTTAAGGTAATGTTTGTAGCCACAAAGTGGAGGGTCAGGCTCTACAGGTTGAGCCACAAACCTAAAGTCTGCTGCTTGGAAACAGACCACTGAGCAATACACCAAAACAATAACAAGTTCTTTTTTCAAACAATTTTCTGAGTATGCAAGCACTGTTTGACAAGATGGGATAAAATGCTGGTTAAGTGATACTCAGATTCCTAATAAAAAAGATTGTTAACCTATTGGTCACCTTACTGTGCAAATAAAAGTTTTATTGTGCATTTCAGTCAAGATCACTCATAGAATTACTCAAAACCACATAACTCCAATAGTTAGTGTTGTAATACATTCCATGCTGACCAGTTGGATTCACATGTGTAATGATGTAGATTTTCCAAGGCAAAATTGTGTCTTTAAAGTCTTTCGGTTGTTTTAACTTAAACATTTATTCCATAAGTATCCTTATTAAGCCAATAAAATCCAGGGTAGTGTCGCAGCCACCAGTGCCAGGACGGTAAATGCCGACAGCAGACAGAGCAAGCATCGCGCAGTGCTGCAAACCCTGCGTCTTCTCCTCCGCTGAGGTTGAACCACTGTCATCACGACATCGAGCGCATCTTCCTCGGCCATCGGCCGTCCCTGCGCGCTAATGATGAAGATCTGACACGCATTACGGTTGTGACCGATGAACCTCTCCTGACGGACTCGCTGAAAGAAGCTCTCGCAGCATCGGGCTATCCGGTCAAGCCCGCTCTCTAAAGGGGCCTCTGAGACGCGCTGTGCGCTCTGGAGCTGCAGCGGCGTCACAGGAAGAGGCACCTCCAGGGTCTGTCCTTCATCTGGATTCTTGCTCGCTGCCAGTGATACAAGCGCGTCCCTTTGCCTCTTGATGAATGTCAGATGTCGACAGATGGGGCAAGCGATGGTGTCCCTGATGATCCCGTCGCTGTTAATGCTGACCAGCGTTTTCACCAAGCAGTCGTGACAAAATACATGTCCGCAGCTTAAAGTCCGCTCACTGCCCGACAGGCTCTCGTAGCACACAGGGCACTCATGTGCGTCTTCTTGGCTGTTGTCCTTGTAAAGTGCCATATAGAGGTAGAGGATGCTAAAAAGGTTGTCTAATAATAACTCTTTGGTAAAGACACACTGAGGTGCTCCTTTGTTCCCTCATTGACTCTGCGCGGTTGGGTGGAGGGCAGAGAGACTAGTTTAACAGGGCCTGTCACTGAGTTGACAGCAGAAACCTGTCTAATTGGATCCATTTCAACATCTGAAATGGTGCATAATTTATCACCTTCAAACCAACAGAGTTCTATCAAAGTGAGGCGAGTGAAAAGGTGTTATAAGTACGGAAGAAGATTAGGGACACTAAAAAATATAAAGTTAACTTATTTTTTAAATTTTATTTCAGTTTATTATGGGCAAAAAGTCCGAATTCTGACTTTTTCTCAGAATTCTGACTTTAATCTCAGAATTCTTTTTTCTCAGAATTATGACTTTTTCTCATAATTCTGATTTTAATCTCAAAATTCTGACTTTTTCCTCAGAATTCCGACTTTAATCTCAGAATTCATGACTTTTTCTCAGAATTCTGATTTTAATCTCAAAATTCTGACTTTTTCCTCAGAATTCCGACTTTAATCTCAGAATTCTGACTTTTTCTCAGAATTCTGACTTTTTTCTCAGAATTATGACCTTTTCTCAGAATTCTGATTTTAATCTCAGAATTATGACTTTTTCTCAGAATTATGATTTTTTTTTTTCCCATATTAAACTGAAATGAAATCTAAAAATCAGTTAACTTGTTTTTATTTTTCAGTGGCCCTAATCCTCTTACGTATATATGAATTGGCTTCAACTTATAAAAGTTTATTTTACAGAAGAATGATATGACTATTCAAGTATGATTTTATCGGCGGTGCATTTTCTACTTTTTTTTTCAGTAAATAATTTAATAAAGCATTTAGATATTTGATGAAAACTTATCTCTGTGAAACCTTTAAAAGTAGTACTTGATTGTTTTGCTTTTACATTTTGTGTTTTGTCTTCAATTACGCCCCACGTGGTTACTGAAATAATTGCTTTTTACACAGTACTCAAGATGAGGGGAAAGGCATCCCCTTTCTTAAAAAAAAAAATCTTAAAAATCATCCCCCGTCTTAAATGACCATCCTCTGTGACATTGTATTACTAAATGTGTGACATTTTTACTATATATATATAAAACAGTAATGGCAATGTTATTTCCCTTTCAACATTTGGCCAAGCAAAGTAAATAAAATAAGGAAGTGGCCTTTTTGTTTTAAAACTTTTTATTTTACATCTTTAATCAGGGACTAAAATATTGCGTTAAAGATAAATAATTACAAATTAAATTTTTAATTTTGCAGCAGTGTTATAATTGTGGTTAAACTTTTTTGAAGCACTAATTCTTTATTAATTTTATTGGGAATACCTACTTTATCTTTGTTTTTGTTTGTTTATACCACTTTGTATTGTATATTACACTTATATTCTGTTCCTATCCCTTTATATCTAACCGCAATTTGCAGATTTTATATATTCAATAAAAATATCCATGGATGAAACCTAACTCTTGTGTTTTTCATGCTAATGTTTTTGCATGCATATTTTTGTTATAAACTTTCAGTAGAGTTATAAGTATCAAATAAATTATAGACTCTAAGGCACAGCATACAGATTTGGATCAGGGTCAATTTTCAATTTAAATATAAAAAATGCATGATATTTTGTTTTATTTTTATTTTTTACTTTTCTTGTTACTTTGATATCACTGAGTTTCCCTCACCATCATGGTTATTTCTGTTCTATTTCAGATATACTCTTTATTACTGTAAAGCTTTTGGCATACACTAAAAAATAAATAGGCCTGCTATAATTTTCAACACATGTTTATTGTTAAAAAAAATTGTATTGGTTGTATAATAATCAAATGAAGTGATGAGAAGTGATCCTAGACATGATGTAGCATATTCTTTACATAGGATGTTAAGTTTTTAAGGACTCAGGTCGCAGTGAAGATATGAGCAATTGGTGTCTGAAAAAAATCTGTAATGTTAGGTCAATAAACTATCTAAAGAGACTTTAAATGTGAATGCCTAATTTGTTCTGTGTTTTTTGCAATATTACGTTTTTATATTGTTAAAACACTTTACATTACAATATTGTTTTTTAATTAGTTTTAACTATTCAGTAATGTGTTATTTTTATACATTTTTCTAGGGTCCATATTTGTGTGACAATTTTTTTCTATAATGTTTTTGCTGTTGTATACACCAGAATTTCCCCATTGTAGGACAATAAAGGCATTTTCTATTCTATTCTATGGGCTTTCATCTGTGTTTAGTTGTTTTTGTTTAGTTGTTTTTGTTATCATCTGGCTATGGTTTGTTGTCAGGGTACTCCTCGTCTACGTAATTGTGCGCCATCTTGTGGTCACTTACAAAACTCCAGCTGTCCTTCGAAGGAAAAAAAATCATGAAAAGGAGTGGCGCTTCTCTCATTCCGGGGCTTACGCAACGTGAATTGACGTCACCGCGTATGTCTTCTGTGAGGATTTACGTTAGTTCCGGGAGACGCGTTGGCAATTTCCTAAACACATCCCAGTTAGCTGTGCCAGTTTCGGAGGCCAGGCTCTACCGAAGGAGTGCGGTTGGTTTTCAGTTTCGCCGGTTAGACGGAGCTTTACTGAGACAGAGGACCAGACACCGGGTTGATATGAGCAGGTACCGATTTATCTCACCATACACAGCTTACTGCTTGGCCTGTTGGCCAGATGTCCTTTTGCTGCTTCTCTTTTGTGGACGCTTAAATGCTCATATTTCAATTGAACTGCGTAGCTTTTATCTTTCTTTTTTTATTTTCTGTTAAAACTCTGTATGTGGAACTTTCTAGAGCCTTAGTCGAGAAGTGACCTCTTCACCGCTCAGCTAAATATGTTGTCTAAAATAGAAAGCTGGTTTTTGCCTGTACCTTCAGTAGCTGTTAATGTTTAAAGTACTTTCCTGTTGTTTTTTTTTCCCTTTCCTGATATTCACACCTGAAGATCCTAAATAAAATGGCAGTGTATCAAATGATAAAATCCTTCCCCAAAGGTTTTGGGTGAAGCTCCACCACACCCTGTCAGACCCTCAGGGGACTGTTATCTGTAGCTCCAACTAAAAAAGACTTAATAAACATTTAATAGGAATTGATGTAATCCTGCTGATCTCATCAGCATCTGAAAGGGATTTTTATATATACACTCATTGACTGAGTCAGAGGACAGATTCTCCACACCTTCCTCTTTGTCCAGGTTTTGTTATAGCAAATAAACTCATTATTTATCATCCTTACTGCTGCAGTCTCTTTCCTCCATTGTTTCATTCTTAATCTGTTACATGATCAGGCTTGACATCTCCTGGTGGTGTTTTTATGTTACCTAAACTGTGTCTATAAAGCAGGGTATTTTAGCTCTGATAAAGCAACATTTTTGCTGCTAAGAAGCCCATTAATTCATGATGTTTTGATCTGTTGCCATGGCTACTCTTGATTATCACATGTAATTGGTTGATCTCCACATATCTATGAAAACTACTATACTGTATCCTATCTATGAGTTTTTACTTTGTGTTATTTTTGGTACTTTCATGGACCGCCTGTAAGTCCCCCTTCTGTCACATGATACACCCAACTTGTGATGTCAGATATATTTGGGAAAAAGCCTCCAGCTTTCCACTGTTTTGATGTTAAAGCTGCATACTAACACATGTAGTCGGTTAATCACTGATGAGGCAACCTCTGAAGAATGTCTAAACGGAAGTGCAGGCGGTCTGTCCTCAGTCGCCCACCCGCTGTGTGTAGAAAACCACACATCCTCTTTGGTCTAAGCCAGATAAGGCAAAATCTAAAGTACCTCAAAACCCAGAGCTGTC